AAACTGCCTCAGTCTTAAATTACAGTCTGTACTTTAAAATAGAATGCATGCACCACATGTTCCTGAAGCTAGAGGGTGGGAGTGTTATTCACTGAAAATTGAAGGCTTGTTGAGTCAATAATCTTCTTTCAGAGAGTAACAATTTTCAGCTAAAATTTCTTGACCCAAACAAAGGAAAACAAGATCATTCAGTTATTTTACAACACGGCAGAAGAAGAAAAGTAAGTGGGAAAGAGGCATACTAGTCTTATTCTACTTGATGGAAAAACAATGGAAAATTTAATTCACAAGTATTACTTACATTTCCTTTTTGTTCATATTTAACCTACTCCCAGTTATTTGCAGATGGAGACATGCACAGAAACAAGTAACCACGGGACAGAACTTACACATACATCTATGAACTGCCCACTGCTTTTATCTCCCAAGAATTACCAGGAATTCATTTACAGGTTTCCATGTCCACACAAACCTCCTTTTTTCTTAAACTGGAAACAATATCCTGAATTTTAAAACACCACTTCAGTTTGAATTTTCTAATTTGCTTATCTGCAAACAATCCAACACTGTCTATAAAATGAGAGGGCTGCTGCACCATCTCTCCTTTAATACTCATTTTTCCTTACCGAAAGGGTTACAGTCCTCATTAATATTTACACTGTGGTTGTGCCCACATCCTCAACCATCAAGGATTCTGAGCTAAGCTTTTCACATGAATGTCACCAGAGTCCCCTGTCCCTGGAAAAGAGGAGGTATTTCCTAACTGTCAGCTACAGTTTCTCAAACTATGCTGGGAATTCTTTTCCTGGCTTAAGTCTTCAACCATAAACAACATTTGTTCAGCGAGAACTCCCCTGGATGGAGATGATTTTCCAAGCTACTTTGCATTCTAGAAGTTACACAAGGAATGTGAATTGTCAAACCATTCCATGCTTTTCCTCACAGCCAGCAACTATTAACATACATCCAAAATGATGTTGATCCATGAGCCAAGTATATCTAGTCTTGTATTTATAGCTCATCACTAGTTCTCAACAGAGGCCTTCTGAAATCTACAATGAGAAAAGCATGCTGCACAGAAGAATGAACATCCAGCACTCCATACATCCTACAAAGGCTCTCTAAAAATGATGTGAAACACAACTGTGAAGTGGCTAATGAAGTTGGGTAGGAATTGCTGAAGTACCGCTTCCCACAGTGCCAAGCATAACGAAACAACACATCTTTAAGGTTTCAAACAACAGTATGTACTATTTGAGGCCCACCTTACTTTGAAGCTCATACACCAAACCAGAGCCAGCTAGAGTGAAACTTGACAAGTCATAGTACTGCACATGATACAAAGAGTGTTCTACCTCTGTGCCAGCTATTGTTTTGCTTCACATGAAAATTCTTGTGCCTCCATGTGAAGACGCAGTGAAAAAGTAATGTCGTAGAATTAATGTGTAAGCGCTCCAAGTGTGAGCGACCTACCAAGGCACCAGTTCCCTCCACTTCAGATACAACTTTCTGCCTTCAGTATCACATGAGCAATTACGCAGTGATTCAGCCCCAAACTAACCCAGAAATAAAAAGAATTATTTCTTAGCTAGGTTGACTCCCTGAGTCACAGCGCTGACAGCGGAGGATGTGAGAAGGCGCAGATGGCACGCTGTGGGCACATGGCAGGGCTGCAACCAACCTAACTTACAGCAAAGCCAAGCAGCTGCAGGACCTCACCTATAGGCAGCAACCAGAAGAAATCAGCAGAAACACTGGTTTCAGAAACTTGGCAATCTTGGGTAGGCCATTTGACCTCACACATCAAACAACAAGCACAGCTAGCACTGAGCAAAGAAAGAAAGAAAGAAAAAAAAAAAAAGGACTATATTAAAACAGAACAAACTAAAAAACCCCAACATCTATCTGAAATGACTTTCGTAGTGATACCAGTAAAAAATAAATAAATTCATCCATGTCTTCTGCCCTTCATTCTACCACCACAATCCAACATGAACATGGACCGAATTACTCATTATGGCAAAACAAAGTATTTGACTTTGCAGACACACACACACACAACCAGTGCTGACATAAGCTCCTTTCTTGCGAGAGCAAACTTGCAGATACATCGTTCAGAAGATTTTTCCTGCAAGTCTGCTCTATCTTTCCCACAATAGCAGAAGTGTGTATTTTGTATTATCCCTTAAACCTCAGTAAATATATTCTGTAGAAGCTGTTCTCCAGACAATTGCATTCAGGCTTCTCCCCCTTTATTCTTCCACTCTAATAGGGAACAGTTTCTGTTTATTACTTCCTTTCCTTCACAGAGTACCTAACTCCCATGTTTTCTCAAAAGCTTGAGATTTCCTTCTAATTGTGACCCCAACAAAAGTGCTCGGAGCACTATTCTATGCAACTTTTCATTTGGGCTCTCGGTGACTCCACATGGTAAAAGACCTCCGGGTCAAACCCTTCAGATATCAGAGCATTTAGGAGAAGGAAAGGAAGCATTGTATAGAATCTGACAGGCCATTAGAAGTAGCTAATAAAGCCATATTTTGTTTGTAGCCATTTGTTACCAACCCACATTACAAATTTGTCTGCTTTGAACTTTATGGGAACATTCATGCCAGGACTTTTATATACAACGTGTGAAGGAAACGGAACAACCATTGAGCTGTTTAGCTGTGCTTACTGTGACACAAACCTGCTGAAAAAACTCTCTAAAAGGATGACACAAGTCAGCATTCAGTGCTGCAAAAAGTGGCCAGCTCCTCTTCAAATCCATCAAAGGGAAACTCTTTTTTTCAAAGCCACATCAGAGAACACCATTCAGCATTTAGTATTACATCTCTTTTGTTGTTTTTAGAGATTCGTATAAGCTTGCTATGTAGCTGCTGTGATTTTACACAATGCCCTTAAGAAATAAAAAGATAACGGGCAAACTGTATAAATATCAGAATACCATGAAACAAAACATACCCAAATTTTATTAAAAGCGTAAAACCACTGCTCTCATTTCAAGCTTTAATATACAAAGACTTACTGACTACCCTCGAGAACAGCATTATCTTGAAAACAAGCTTAGGAAGCCACATTTAGCATCCCAAAATGACACTATAACTAGGAATACTAAATGAGAAATAGTGATCACTGAATTTCATAACCAGCTGAAAATTGAATGCAGGCCTCTTGCTCAAGGGGAAAAAATTGTTAAAATGGTCAAGCCGTCCTTACCCCCAGTACTAAGCATTCAGGTCTTCATCACGCTCACGGTACTTCGAATGCATGGGCCATTCCTCAATTCTAAGGCATTTCCTTTGGAAGTAGGTGAGTTTGCTCACAGTACCGAAAAGACAATGTCACAATATATGAAAGGTTCCAGATGGTCTTAAATGTGGCAAACTATACTGCCTCACATTCTCCTCCCTATCCAAATGGAGGTTGGGGTGTTCAGTATGTAAGCTTTCCGGAAGCGAAGGCTCTGAACAACAGCATTTACAACAAACCTACAGTATAAGCTACACTGCCACAATGGTTAACATTCATTGTTAATACCACCAGCTTACTCATACCTAGAATAATAATGAGCTACTAAATATACTGAACACTTAGGGACACAGATAATACCCAACAGTCTGCTTAGATACTGTGGTGACAGAGGTAGGACAGAGCATGGATTAAAAGTAGGACGATTGTTTAAGAAAAATTGCTGGCAAATTAAAACATTATTTAATAAATAACTAGTTCTATCTATCCTAATAAACACTGTTCATGAAAAATTGAGGTAAGAACTTCATTTTAATTTAACTGTTTTTAAATAGCTGTTGCCTAAAGAGTTTAGATAGCAGTTGCCTCCTATTTTTAAAGTAATTGCCAGCACTCATTTTTGAGACGAGTTCAGAGAAACTGGTCTTCTTAAAAAAAGTTTTCCTGTCAAATTAACACTGGTTCAAAGTAAGCAGATAGCTCTTCTCACACCAGTTTTCATAGTTCTCCTGAAGCAGGCATGTCTCAAACATCATGTAAAGAATTTGTGGCATATGTACTCTCCTGGGTGCCTAAGATATAACTTTAAATGCTGTGAAGATGTTTATTACCCTACTTTTAAGAACTGACAATAGCGCCATGTGTCAGAGGAAAAATACACAACAAACTGCCAGACTTCACACATACATTTGGTGTTTTGATAGGTAAACTCTTCAGAAGAATCTCTCTGCTAACTGGAAATTAATACCCAGTAAACCTGCAAAAACATTCTGTAGGTTTGCAGTACATTATTCCAAGCTAAATGTCACAGAGCATATAAACAGTTTCCACCTTTTAAGCTGAATGCAATGTCTTCTTGTTGGTTGAAATTCAGGCTGTTGTTCTAACAACAAACAAGAAAATCTCCAAACCAGCAACAGAATACAGAGCCAGAGCCAGAGCACTTTGGCAATTACAGTAAAATAAGACCTTCAATAACACAAGTAGCTGCAGTATCTCTGTAAAGTGTACTAATGTGTGCTGTTTTCCCCCACAGCAGAATGCAGAGAGCTCAGAAAACAAAGAAAGGTTATTCCACAATAATCTCCCAACCAAACAATCAACCTTGCCCAAGTATCACTACCATACCCACTACTACACTTCTGTCTGTAGTAGTAGACCACTGCAGAATTAACATGTCAAACTCATTATTTATGCTTAAGGTTTGGAACAAATAACTCATGGTGTCAGCATTCTAAATCAAAATATACTGAAATCCTTGGAAAACTGCACAGAAAAAAAGCCTCTTCCTCATCAGATTGTTTCGTGCAAGTACAGAATTCCTAAAGCCCAAAAGAAATATTGATCTATTTCCTCCGTGCAGATATAAATGTGCACAAATACAAAACATGGATGTGGATAGTGACATTTTGAATCAGTACAACCCCTAAGCTAAGTCCACCACTCATATACAGGTTCTCATCAGCTTGTGAACAACCTTGTTTATAATTTAAAAATACTGAACTCAAAGAAAAACATTAATTTCTTACTGGTAAGCTCGATGGTCGTTCTTGCTGGATTAGGTTCAAGTCTTCATGGTTAGGCTTTCCTGGGGCCATAGGGGGTTGAGATCTGGTTCCATAGCCTTCCTGAGACATGTCCTGCAAAAATAGTTGTAACAGAATTATTAACTTGATTCAGTAATTACAATTAAATTCACTTCACATAAGGGTGAAAATATAATGCTGCAATGAAAAAATCAAAAAATAAACACCAAGTTTTTGGTAGTTAAATCTCCTTGGAAAATATCCATAGGTACCAGTATAACTAACACAGTTTTTGAAGAAAACTGATAGAGTGGCAGACAGATGTGCCTACAGGTGGCGTGGAATCAGACCACTGGTAGGCAGACTAACACATGCCAAAAAAACAACAAACCTTCTCAGCCAATGACCCGCTATACTGCAAAAGAGGCATGAGCACAAAGTAGTCAAAACTTTCATCCTACTCTTAGATGAGTTACCAAGCCTTCTGATGAAATACTGAGCCAGGTAGAAGGACTAGACTGCAAATAAAGTTGTAACCCTGCTGCGTCATCAGATGCCTGTAACAATCCTGGATTTACCAACACTATGACTGAGATGGCTTTCAAAAGCTGCCTATCAAGTGGTGGTAAAGATCACATCTGCTGGAGATGTGTTGCATCCAGTGGCTTAGAAGGAAATATTTAATTGAAAGCCGCTCCAAAGCCTGTACCAGCAACTGAGAGATTTTCCTCCCAGTGCAAGCCCAAGCAGTCTTAGGTAATGGTCTGGCACCAGCCTTGCTGCAAAGGGGCAAGTGGGGGCCAAAAAACCCTCTCCCACCCCATATCCCACAGCACAAACTTACTCGACATGCAAGATACTTGCCTATTACAAAGCCCTAGATTCAGGCTTCATTGTAGCTGCTATATTTCACATTAGCAGCTTCTACACTAACTGAGCAAGGAAAACAACTGAAAGCACAGTACCTCCTTCAGCATGGGTAACTGGCAGGGAAAGCTGAAAAACCAGTTCTTGACTGCTAGAAAAAGATATCACACCTTAAAGGTTTCTCTTTGTTGTTTCTAAGTTTTTCGATTCTCTTTTCCCCTTCCCAAGCACACTGGAGGTTAATTTGCTCCAGTCATCCCCTTGCATCTAATGCTTCTATTGACGCCCGCAAGAGGCGGGCAGGGGAGAACAGGAAGGGACAAGGAGCTTTCTCTGTGCCACCCCCACCTGCACCATGCGATCACACTGCTGCTGCTTGCAGAGGCTGCTCTTGCAGTCAAGTGTCCGCATCCACACAAGTCATTGCTCGCACACAGCCTGCACAGACCAGTCGCCTTGCAGAGCAGGAAAGCGTTCTGTCTCTTTCTGAGCTCCGCTGCTGACAGAGACATTTGTTAACAGCCACACTGCTTCCATTCAGCTCCTTCCATTGCTTTGAGCTCTCCTGAGTTACTTCAAGGGATGCAGAAAACTCAGCGAGGCTCATAAAACAAAACCCAGCAAAGCTGGTCGGATGTAAACCCAACAACGAGAGATCCGATCCGCAAGCCTGTGCCAAGCCAAATCAAGAAGCACTTAAAAGGCCAGCACTTCAATGTGGTTACCAGCAGAGGGTAACAATTAGGCTTAGGGGTGACAAAGGCTGATGGCTGAATGATGATTATCCCCTGTGACCCCCCGCATGCCCTCCGCCCAGACCGCCACTTGTCACACAGCTCTCCTGCTGCGCGCACCAGCAGGTTCCTGTGGATTAGTGGCGAGGTTTAAAACCAACAAACGGCACAAGGCCTCCATTCAGCAGCCTTCACCCTGCCACAAAGGAGGAGAAAGGTGCAGGACAGCTTCACAATAGGCAAACAAATGAGCAAACCTCTGCTTTCCCCCTCATTTCAAAACACACGCGCGCACTCGCGCACACGCGCACGGCTGTTGTCCCTGTGCAGATGCCTGTAACAAACCCCGCCACGGAGATCCAGGCTTCCAGGTCACCTTTCTGTGCGCTTCTCTAATTCTTTACAGATGAAAAAACACCGAACAAGAATCATTTGTTGGAACAGCAACAGAAACAAAAGCAAAAATTATCCAGAAACAACAGAAGCGGTTAACAAAAAAAGATAAATGTAATATTTGCTTGGGAGACATCATTCTGGAAACACAATTACTCCTTTTTCTAAAGAGACACTACAGGCTTAGGACAGTTTTTCTGAGAACGAAAAGAAAAGCCAGGAGCCTTTAATTCCTCACCAAGTACCAAGCATGGATTTCCCATTTGCTAAATTTTACTTGAAACCTTGCTCCCTACTTAAATTTCCACGGGAGAGGAAGAGGAGAGTAAAGAGCACAATTTTTCATAAGAAATATCACACGTTGAATGGAATTTACTTTTACCTGAGTACTGAACGCTTTGAGATGTCTTTCCACATACTGAAGTGCACATAAAAGAATGTGAACATTACAGCCTTTGTCTTTTTAATTGCACAACTTCCATAATGCCTTTCTTTCTGACTGTCAAAAAATCAAATTGATTTGCTCAGTTCTAGATTAGGTTTGGAAGCAAATACTGCAGTGGTTGTTATGATGAGGATACCTGCGCACTCCAAATGAGACTGAGACCACACAACTACTGCCCACACTCACTGTAAGGCCACTAGATGCTTTGATGACTGCAAACTTGGGAAGTGGCTCTTGAGAAATGAAAAACTAGTTTGCTCTCTAAGCTTGAGGCACAGGAATCTTCCTGAGGAAATGTGCATGGGACTGTGTGTACAGCTTTCTGTGTTTATACATATGTGCTGTCCAATAAAAACAGTCAACTTACATAATAAACATGATGACAGTTAAATCGTAGCACGTTACACTAAGAGGTTGGTTTCATAACCAATGTAGTGTTTAGTTTCATCCCCTCTGAAAAACAGGAGAGAGAAAATCCCTAGTGCTTTCCTTCAGTTCTTCATGTTGGAAAACGTTAGCATGCAGCATATTACTGAATAGATAAAATGGATTTTGAGAAAGAAATAAAACATAAGGACAGAGGTGTTAGGGTAAATTGTCCATCACTGAAGAAACGCACATTCTCTCTTTCAGTTTAGAAAGGTCATTCTTCTTTCTAGCATCTAGGGATGGATTTATCAGGAAATGACGGGAGGGAAATTAAGGGAACAGGGAACATAATGCTATGTGTGCTACAGACATGGCTAAAAGTCCCCTACTGATATCAGAACTCATCTTCTCCCAAGATCCCTGATTTTTTCCTTTGACTTCCAGTATTTTATCCATCAGTGATACCATCTTTCAAAGCTGTGATTTTTTTTTATCAATCACAGAAAATCCTTCTGCCCATGGAAGACAAGTATGTATGAGTACAACACAGAGGAATCCAAGCTTTCATAAACAGAAGGCTACCAGTTTCCACTCAGAACTTCCCAAACTGGCACCAATCCAATCATATCATAGCTGGTATAGCACAAACTGTCAACAGAGTTGTAAAATAACTAAAAGCAGGGTTTCCCCCATCAGATTTTATAAAAGACGCTGGGAGAAATAATCAGCAAGTCATAAACATGTACTCTACAATATCTGAAGTATAACCTGTGTTTAAAAAAATCTTTATACTGTGAAATAGGTAAGCCAAAAAAAGGAAGAAGGAAAAAAATGAATATGCCTGTGTATACACAGCCGAAAACCTACATATTGGTTAAGTTGTCCAGATATCAATCATTGATAATCATTGTATGATTATGGACAGTAACAATAACCAACTGCTTATCATCCACGGAGCCAGTTATTTACCTCTTGCTCACATGTATTTTTAGCTTGGGCTACATATTGCAGTGGTGTATGGAGCTCATGATGTGTATCCTCATGATGAGGAAGAAAGAGAAAGGTATTTTCTTAGCTCTTGCTCTCTGATATTGTATTTATTTTTTAAACTTTCTGTCTTTAGTTCTGGTATGGAGTGTCACTAAGCCAGAGGTTTGAAGTGAAAAAACTGGGTTGCAGGGACGTCAAAGACTCCTGTTCTTACTTTCCCCAGTCTTGTAGCTGGGTACCAACATCTTACTGTGCTGGGTCTTCACACGGTCACTCTGTGAAAAGGCGCAACTTAAAGCTTGCCAAAGATAAACTCCCTGCCTCCCAGCTTTGTTCATTAAGCAGGACTGGCCTGGGAAAGTTGGGTGTTGCTACCAGTCACCAAATTGCAGCTCAAGTCAACTGCACAGCAACCTTCTGGAGACAGCCACAGATAGACAACCTTTCCCTTTGTGATGAGCAAAATTAGTGTAATGCTTTTGATCTCTAGCTGGACCTAGTTTAAAAAAACTGAATCTGTACACATCTATGTTTTCTCTGCAAAACTGAATGAATGTAGCACTAGGAATGTGCAAAGCCATGTAGATGAAACACACACTTGTTTTAAGTTCTGATAAAGAGATAAGATCTAATTTTGATACAGTTTGAGTTTTTTTTTAAATGGGTAATGAAAACATAGTAAAATCATTAATGTTTTAGGGAAACCACATTTAAAGAAAGGCTGAGTGAGAAATATCACTCAGGCTTCATCCACTTCTATTGCAGCAAACTGCAGAGGAATAACATGGCCACTCCGGAAGGTACGTACCACGACGGTTAAATTGAAGCAAAATAATTTATGGAATATATATAGTACTCTTTACATTTCAAAAGCTCATTAAAAACTATGCTAGTGCTTGTATTCTTGTTTTAGTTAGTTTATCCGTAGAAGACTTCAACTATGAGAGCACTGAATTCTACAGCAATGTGACAACAGCAAAATTGAAACCAAATGTGTTTTTTTTTTCCCCCACACAACCTGAGAATGGAGCTCAGGGCTCAGTTAAACACTCAAGATAAATATACAGCTCTACCATATAAGATTATTTTACTCATCTCTGATGGGATACTATGGAATAGAAAAAAAGGCAAGTGATATGTTAATGGCTATAGAAAGACGTACCTTGTTATCACTTACCAAAGTATCCTTGTGTGCTGTGTCATTAAATAAAGATTAAGACATTTCTCTTTATTTTCATCCTCATGCAAAAAGCTACAATAAAAAAAATATTCCTCACCTAAATGGTACTATATCCCTATACAACCAACCTTGAGCT